TGCCCTAAACTTATCCGGCCTAATTTTATTTTTTAACACAAAGATTTTTCATATTTTGTCTTCTATTATCAGATATTACCACTAATTTACTGCATGTTAATTACCAACACTCTTTTAAGTGTTGATATTTAAATTTTGATAATTGACAAACACGAGCCGATCGAACAAAGAACAAAAATGGACAAACACAAATAAATATCAATTATTTTATTGAAAATCATAATGTCTCTCAATGAAAGTGAAGATTTCAAGACACCCTTTTTTTATTTTATTTAGATCTTTGAAGTAAATTAATTATCAGAAAGATGGATACATTTTTTTCATTCATGAAAATGTTTTGATCTCACACAAAAGAATTTTTTTTGAGTCAGATCTGATAATTTGTTCTCTTCAATTGTTTTTACAAGCAAAATGTACCATTGCCTAATCAATTAAGCAATAGCAATTAATTGATTTAACAGTGTCGGTTTTTATTCGTTGCTGAAATTAAGCATATATGATTAGGGCATGTTTGATAATAGCATTAGAAATTAGCGTTAGCGTTTTAGATGAAATTTTAACGGTGCAGATTACTTTGAAAACGCTAACGCTAAACGCTATCTGCACACAGCCTTTTCAAAACGCTAACGCCAATCTCTAACGATATTTTCAAACAAGCCCTTAATTAATTGATTAAACAACTGGTTATGCATTTTTCCTTTTTTCATTTTCTATCCATGACTACTCCAACCTTTGCATCTATATATAAATGTCTATATTAAATGTATGCGTATATATCTTTAGTTGCACAATTTATTAATGTAAATAAATAATGAAAAATTTATAGTTTAGGGACATATAAAGACTCTCAATAACAACGTTTACGAACATTTTTTGCAACGTGACGGAGGTAGTATATAACTATATATATATTCCCTTTGTCCCAAAATATTATACATTATTTGTTAGGGCTTATTTGTTTATAATTTTTGTTTGATTGTGTTTTTATTGATTGTTGATCGATAAAATAAAACATTTTTATCATATTTTATTTTATTAATTATTCATATACCAATTTTTAAATAAATAATTTAAGTTCTAAAAATGTAGGATTTTTTCTCATAAAAAAAATTATAATTCAATTTAGGACAGGGCGGGTATGAAACGATATCATATTTCTTTAATTTTATTCGTAGCTATATTTTTTTTAAAAAAAAAAATATGTAGCGTGCACTACTCTACTTCAATAGTACTGGAAACCCAAACTCAATTTGGCGTTTGGTTCTCTCTCTTCCTCCCATAGGCATATTTGGGTTTTCACTATTCCTACTGCATGCATATCATTTTTTTAGTTGCAATTCAGTCCCTCATTTTACATCGTATCTTTTATTATTAATATTTGCTACACTTTGATAAACTCTAGTCTTAAAAGATAAATTGTAACATAGCACTGAAATTAAAAAAAAAAATATTACATTACTACAAATAACGTAACTTAAAATTACAAATACATAAACATAAAAATAAATACACTAGAAAATAGAAACAACAAGAAAAAACTATATATTATGAACATTCTAATAAAGAGACTTGAACGAGCGTATGATTTAAAAAAAACTAAAGTGTACCAAGTGCTTTGTGTGGTGTGTTTTTAGTGTAACTTTAATACCAAGTAGTTAAGATTTTTGATGTGTTTTAATGTAATGTTAATTTATAATCGTCTCAGTTCTTTGGTATACTTTCATGTAAATTTTGGTATAAAAATATTTAGTTTATTTTAAATTCATAAAGAGTAAAGTATATATGTACTAAAAAATTATTCCCTCCGTCCGGGAATATTCTTCTCATTTGACTTTTTACGGTCTCCAATGTTGCACTTTGACGATAAATATTTATATTTATACGTAGATATAATCTATAAAAATTAAATATTTCAAAACTACGTTTCAATAGGAATATATTGATATTAAATTCATATCATAATGCAATATATTTTTTTACATATCGGAGTCAAAAATTACAAAATTTAATTAAGAAAAATCAAATGTAAAGATCATTTTTGGACGGAGAGAGTAAATGGTACGGAGTGTAAATTAATCCTTTTTACTTAAAATGGTACTCCGTAATATTTTAAAAGTATAAAAAGATATGGAAAAAGAATACTCTATTGTAAGAATATTTTTTGTGTTTGAGTTTGGTATAATATAGGTTGAAGATAAATTACTGTTTAATTTGACATTAAGCCTAAGAGCACTGGTAATGGTCATGAAGCCCCGGGGCTTCAAACTTTCTCTCTCTGCCATGTCAGCTTTAACTTACACCCAAAATTCACTGGAAATGGTTTTGAAGTCCGGGGCTTCAAACTGGAGCTTCAAACCTTCATTTTTTACATTTTTAAATACACATCTTCTAAAATTAAATTAATAAAATGTAATTAATTTATTATTTAATTAAATTGAAACACGAATAATAAAAAAATACATTAATTAAATAAAAAAAGCGACAATAATTTAAAAAAGATACATTAATAAAAAAAACTAAGGTAAAATTTGGGAGGTGGTAATTTCGAAATTTAAAATTTGAGAAGAAGAAGAGATTGAAGATGGAGAAGATGTGAGAGATTGGGAGGGGGGTTTGAATTTATAAGAAAAAAATTTTTTTTTTTAAATGAGGTGCAACGGCTATAAAGCCGTTAGGGAGGGGGAGGGGAATGGAATGACGCCGCGTTATTCTTTTGACGCAGGGCCGATCGCGCCCGATCACGCCCGGAGGGGAGCGGTGTTTAACGCCGCCGGGGCGTTAAACGCCCCATCACGCCGGCGGGCGTGAAAAGCCTATTACCAGTGCTCTAATTCATCCTTATTTCTCATACTATTCCACAAATTTCGATGGAGTATAATTTTGTCTTACTAATAGTCTAATAGTTGTTCGGGTCAAATGTGGACTCTGCTTACTATTCTCTCAGCCCCACAATTTTTTTCACTTGCTACAAAAATTTTATTTCGTCAGAAATTAATTGTCTATTTTTTTATTTTTATTTTTCCAGAGTTAATAAGTTTTTTTATAGGATCCAAAGTTAATAATTTTTTTATGGCGGTTTCATTTGGGGGCACATATTAGACTAGGCCGATTAGAGGATGCTCAGATAGCTGAAGCAAAAGGGCATATGAGGAATTTAAATGATCGAGGACAGCTTTCAAGCACCATGAACTTGTGGTGGAGAACGATAGCGAAGTTGTTTTTAAGGCATTCCCAAATGATCTGGAGGTTTAATTTCTTCTTATTTTATGGGTTTTGTTTAGAAAAATGCTAGGGGTACACCAAATGGTGTACCCTATTTGTCCCCCATCCCCTCCTCCACCACATAAATGGGTAAAAAACTTAAAAATAAATAAATAATTAAAAATGAAATAAAAATATGTGGTAGAGAAGGGGGTGGGGGACAAATGGGGTACACATTTGGTGTACCCCTAGCATTGCTCTTTTGTTTATGATTGTAAGACAGTGATGTGACTCATGTGAGACTTTGAATTTCTCACATTGTCAGTTGTTAGAAAATCAGTGAATTCAATGACTCATATGCTTGCTCGAGCGTCTGATTCTGAGTCTGATTAGCTGGGGTGGTTCTTGTTCCTCTGGCACATATTTGTGAAACGTTGTCCTCTGATTTAAATTAATATTATTACCATTTTTTCAAAAAAAAAGGAAAGAAAAAAGTGTGCCGAATTATCTAAAATTATATAGAAAATAAACAACCAATCGTAAATGTTGGGTACATTTTCGAAATAATTTTTTTTGATTTTTTTTTTGAGAAGTCGTGATATGCAAATTATCTATACCCTTGAACTCAAAGAGAGATGATTGATGTGCGATTCACATGGCGTTGGGTCAACGTGAGCACATAACGGTCAGTTTGATATTTTTGAGTTAGATTAAATAGACTTTAATTATTAATTGTTCTTAATTTATATTTCATATTAATACAATAAAATTATATTTTGTAAGTTCTCAATGAAATAAATATAATGAAATTAATTGTATGCTAATATATAAAGTACATTATAATTTTTATAGAATTAAAATTCAAAACTCGTTCAGTTATATTTTAAAAAGTCAAACGAATTAAATACATTACGAATGGATGGTAGGAATTATCCAAATCCAAAAATGAAGGAGTCGGTCACGCCGTCCAGTTCTAACTTCTTATACCAACCTCAACCTACCATTTTTATTCGAGGGTTAATAGTATCAATATTTTTTACCGTTATGTTTGACTGCTTCATACCCTTAAAACTTTGATGAGGTTTAACTACAACTATTTTCAAATCAATAAAATTAGAAAAAAAAACCTTTAAAAAATTAAACTACCGTGAGTCCGTCCCAGAAAATTTGTCTAGCTTGGAGATATTGCTGTTAAAATGGATAAAATTTACCCATTAAGTAAAATGTATATTAAAATTTTGTTAGATTTACCTAGTAAAATATTTTCAAATTATTATTTTATATATTTAATCTATATAATGTAATTCTTATTTAATTATATAATATATCAAAAGTTGATTATGATTGACAACAAAAATAATTAAACTAGACAAATACTCTAAAACAAATAAAATATATATATTTTAAAACTACATTAAAAATTTTAAAAACAAAAGATAATATGGGTATAATATTTTATCAATAAAAAATTATAACAGATAAAGAAAAAGTGAATAAAATAACCATATATATAAATACTCCCTAGTCAATAAATTATTTTCATTAGACGACTCTTGATGCTTGATGCTCAAAACTTTGATTTAAAAAACAAATACTCGTAATGATGAAATTTTAATATTGTATTTTGATTTCATGCATTACTTACTCGATGCCATGCACGCCCAAGCCGTACAAAGTCAAACAAGTTTATGTAAATCTCCTCACCCATTCACATGTAAATCCCATATTTATGCTTAAAACAAAGTCAATGGTGTACAAGCTTCTAGAGAGAGTGAATTAGAGAGATTGAAAGAAAAATAAATCGAATCCAAAATTGATTTTTTTTTAATAAAAAAATTCTGCAGCATTTTTGGGAAGAAAAGAAATGCCTCAAAAAATAATGAGACAAAGTGAGAATTGAACTGCAAAAAAGAAAAAAAACAGGCTACAAATGAGATTTCAGTGCCTGTAGTGATTTGGCTTTAGCTTCACAAATGGTGTTGAGCTCTCTCAACAGCGAAAGCTGCCCGCTGGTGATTTTCCTCACGACATCAGCAGGACTCCACGTCAGCAACGCTTGTGACACCCGGTCACCGACTTCTGCCACGTCATCATTCCCGGGAGACGTTAACCCGTTAATGATCCGAAGCACTTTCCCTGGCCCGCCTTCGCTTTCCGGGCTGTCTCCATGATGAAGAAGAGAAGAAAGCAAACTTTCCAACTCTGCTTCTTCTTCAACTTTCCTCATTTGTTCCTTTAACCAATCCAATACGGACTGAATGATGTTACATGCAGACTGGACAGAGTCTTGTATCACTATACCTCCTTGAGAAGAAGAAGAAGAAGAAGAAGAAGAAGTGTTTGGCTGATCTCCCGTGGGCCCAACTTTCTTTTTCCTTTTCCCAGAGGGGTACAGAGAGCGCGCGTATGATTGCATCACCAGTGTGTGCCAAGAGAAGGGTTCGGTTAGCAACTGGACGAGGGTGGGAAGATCATTGCCGGGTGATGGGACATGTGATCCGATGGATGTGATCTTTTCCTCTATGCACCTCTTCAGCAATGAATTCACGAGGTCCCACGTAGTCATAGGTGCCTCGTGAGATTGTAGGTTCCAAGCATTCAAGAAGACAACAAAATTCATCCAGCCTACCAGATCGGCATTCCATTCCTATCAAGTAGAAGAAGAACGATAGGATCGAGTTCAGCAATTACAACAAACCCAGTGAAATATTTTTTAAGTATTTTGGAGCAGTTCAGAGCTTTTTGGGATAGTTGTTTTTTAAATCAGAATATGGCATAAATAAGTAAATACCTGTAACTGTTTATGGCCATTCAATACTGCAAATGCCAGTTCCAAAGCATCTTGCAAAGAAAATCCCAAGGTATGTGCATACCGATCGAGCAAGTGTTTTAACTCTGATGAGAATTTAGAGGCAAAGTCTGAGCCATCGCTTTCGATGGTTTCCTTCACTGATGATGCTGCACAATGCATTGAGAGATAAACCATCCGTGGGAGAAGGGACCTCTTCTCAATGTTCTTAATCACATTTGCTTCTGATTTTTGGATTTGCTTATGCTGCAAATAAAAGTTGACATACAATAAGCTTTATTTTAATGATCTACAACACCTACTAAAACATATAGAACCACAACTTTAATGCCTACCAAGGTTTCTCTGGGACAATAGGAAGCTCCTTCAAATGGATCTGCAGCCAAAAAAATCACCCCAAACACTTTTTACAAAAACAAACAAACCCAATATATTTCACTTGAGAGAAAATTAGAATAAATATTGTAAACTGACCTAACAGATAATTTTTATCATATGTGGGAGTCCACCAAGGCCGTAGTTGTAAATCTTGATTGAAAGTCAATGGCTTGGATCCTATTTCATTTGAGAGCTCAAGAATCTGAACTCCAGACTTCACACTTTCTAGAATGCACTTTAAAACAAATATATATACATTGCCTTAGAGTGATACAAAACAACTTGAATGTGCAACTTTAAGCAAAACCCTAAAACCAGAAATAGTCACCTCCTCTTCCTCAATGCTATTAGCATTTTGTTTCATCTGCAAAATAGGTGCTTCGATCTTTGCCATCACATACTGACTGGAACGCTGTAACCGTTCTTTGAATTGAACGAACTCAATAGCCTACATAAACAACAAAGATGCTATATTCTAATTAAATAAATCATGAATACTATGGCTCTATTTATTTTATTTTGTTAAAATCCATGGACTATGAAGTTGGGAAAAAAAGGTGTGGGGAAGTTAGGGGGAGAGCACCAAACACATACTTTTGAGTAATTCCGGTGGCGATAGGCAAGAAATGTAAGATCAGCAGATTCTTTGAAGTGATCATCCATGAATTTTAAGTAGCCCCTCAAAATATCACTAGAGTCTGCCCACAATGGAGATGCCAACATCTGCTGTAAAATGTGGTGACTTACAGTTTCCAGCAAAATATTCTTGACATCAAGTGACTTGTACCTGTAAAAAAAAAAAGTAAAACTAGTTAACAAACACCACTAACTAAATGCTCACCATTTATAAACTGAACATTTATAGTGGGACATAATGAGTATTTATCATTTCATTTACACTACTGACTTTTACTATACTAGTGGTCATTTCTAGTTTCAACTTCTTGTTCAGTAACAATAAAAAAGGTAGGTAAAAGGGATAGAGAGAAGGTATTATATGATAACGGATAGGTAGTTGATGAGATAAAAGAGATAAAGCAATTGGCGTGATAAAGAAAATGATAAAATATACAGAATACTCCATATTCAAATGGAAACAGTTAACCGGGTGTGAGTGGGGTGGGTGGGGGGGGGAGTAAGTGAAGTTTATTTTTAGACTGCCATTTAAGGATTTAGTGATGCTTTATGGGACGAGGAAGTATTAATTTTGGCACCATCACTTGGTGTCCTTGTCAATTTCAGTCCTTGGCAAGTACCAATTTTGGTGAACGAGTTTGATTTTATTAGCCATCCTTCCTACTATGTTTTTGCAAGAAATAGACAGTAATAAGTCATGACACAAAAATGAGATTTACTCCAGACATAAAAATAATAGTAGTATAGCAGGGTTATAAACTTTGTTAGGCAATTATGATGACTTTTCCAACATGTCTCTGGTATTATACCCTACTTTTTACAATGTGAGGTATGGACTATGGTCGCATGTGTACACCCATTTCTTAACCCCTTCCTACTCATATTCATTACTCCTAGAGGAAACATGTATTGTGATCAAACATTAAGATATATTGAACTTACCATTCATAGGCCAATGGAAGAGAGCCCCAGTGAGAATATAAATGCAACAAAAGGATTTTATACTGCCACACAAATCTGTTACCAATGAAGATATGAAAATCATCTTAGAAACTCATATAACTGACACAGAAACCTAGTTCTGAAATGTGAACCCATTTCAGGACCAAAAATAACATACAGTGTGAGGATATGAAGTTTAAAAGGCTTATTAAATAACAATATTGATTACCTGCGGACAGTCAGACCAAACTCTAAGATCAAGATTGACTCTAACAGGTAGCCAAGATTCCTTGTGCGCCAGAAAAGCTTTAGGAGGAAAAAAGAAAAGACATCTTATGTTAACAAGAAAAGAAATGAATTGAGCCCTCCTTTCCTTCTAAAAAGTATTATGGGAAAAAAAGAAAAAGCTAAATAGCAATAGAATTTAAGACAAATGTTAACTTTTTCAACAGAAGAGCATTGTAATTCTCTTTTATTAATATACATTATTGTAATCCTATGCTTTATATTTGGTAAACATTTGCTGGAATTGAGGTACCTGAACCAACACATTGCATGCCATAGTCAAAAGCTCTTCACCATACATACTCTCTTGCACATCTAAATCTTTGGATAAAGCAAGGTTCTTACAGTACATGCTTGTCATCTGAATCGCTAGCTTCTCAAGTTCTGGAAAGGAATTATAAACATCAATCCACTATGAGATAGTTCATGATTCGATCATACGAATTGTTCTAGAGTCTCTTTATTACATTAGTAATGAGTGAAAACTTCATTTAGACTGAAAATCTGCACCAAAAAGAGAAGCCGGTATGCCTAATGACATAAAATCTGCAGTAATGGAAAATCTACGAAATCACCCAGGACTGAAAAAATGTGGTCTCATGTGCATTACATTCAAGAGAACAGTTAATGAACTTGTCCATTGTTTAAAGTAAAATTGTTAGAATAAAGCCACATAAGTTCATAATGAACTTGAATTCTACATGAGCAGGGTCCCACCACCACAAGAGAAAACAGATCTATTCCATATTAACTGTTTAACTTGTGTTCCTTTTGTGAGTGCTTGCTCATAAAGTTGCCAATCTCTATCCATGTATCAGCAAATGGTCTTTTATTTTTATCAAAATGAACATAATGCACCAATAGAAAGGAATTCGAAGAATGACAAGGTAAAGCCAAAGGGTACCATCTATGGGGAGTGTGAACAGCTGTCCTACAGTGTTTTGAATCTTGAATACAGTGACAGACTTCCCAAGAGCCTTTGTTGGAACTGTCTCTATAGACTGACACTCTTTGACCAGCCTCTTCAAAAGCTCACACTGATCATCGTTACTTAAAACTTGAAGAAACATATCCACATCAGATGAAAAACATGCCAAATGCCCAAACCTGTCATCAAATAAAACAAAGAACTCAAGGATGACAAAAAGCAATACTAAGTGAACATAAGTACAATAACATAACCAGGTAAAATAGGCAAAATCTTCTTTCAGTTAGATCAACAAGATCAGATTACTAGCCCTTGTAATGTCATGATCAAATACAATCAGTTCAAGAAATCCTTCAAAGGATCTGTAACAAAGAAAACATAGAAAAGATGATATTTACCTGAGAAAGTAATGCACCAAAGTCTCCATTAACTTATCAGGATCACCCTTTCCGTTCAGAAACTTCCTCCTTTCAATTTCAAGGATTGCTAAATGCGGACATCTTATAGAATCATTATTTGCTTCCACTAGCAACTGGTGTACAAATGATGATGCATTTTCTATCCGAGAATCAAACTGCGCAAAAACTTTCAGAATCAAATGCTACACATTTCTTTTAAAAGACTATTGAAATAATACTTTTGGAAGTATTAGAATCTAAACACTCACTATCTGATCTGATAAGTGGGAAACCTTGCAGTCTACATATTTAGGCAGATAAATGTGCTCGCTATTAGATTCGTGGCACAAGCTACTGCCATCCTCCATCAGACACCCTAGATAGAAGAGGAAGCACTCCCAATCATCAGGACTGACACAAACCAAAGCTAAAGTTGTTAGCTAAGAGTATAAGACACAATAGCAACAAAAGGAAACAAGATATCATATATCACAGCTCAATTTGTGAAAGTTGACCATTAACATAATCATTCTTCATTGGTATATCATTAAGCCACAAAATCACGGCTCAATTTGTGAAAGTTGTCATCACAATATCACATGCCAACAGATATGGCCTAAAGGAGTACCCGCTTCCTACCATTACCTTAGTTTATGGATAGCAAAGACTCTTAGTCTCCCTTATTCATTCAGGATATATCATCCCAGTTTCTAAAAGCCTTGTTTAGGACTATCATTAGAGAAGTTACAACACCAAATACACTTAATTAGTCATCAGTTCAAGCAACATACCATTTTCTCAATATATCCTGAAATACGCTGCTTGCGGCATCATAATCACCAGCTTTAGCATGAAGCCTCCCCTGTCAACTTGAAATCAAATAGGACACTGTTACAGAGTTGTAAATTCTATCTTTTAAAGGAAAATATCATTGGTAGTATTGGACACTTAAAGTGAGTGACACAGACAGACAATAAAACAGCCTTCCAGATATGTTGGACGTTGCAAGTAGCAAACCATTAACGCATAACGCGTTATAACAATATAAGAGAGAATTTGAGAAATACCTGTAAACGTAACCTATCAACTTCAATCATAATAAGAGACCCTAATTTTCCTGAAAGAACTTCTAAGGCATCTCCATATTTAGATTGTTGTTCCAATAGAGAAATATATATGATAAGAGCTGCAGGAAAAACCATTTACTTCCTCAGACTCTCAAAGGCATGTTTTTTCAGCACAGATCTTGAGAACAAATTTCAATCAAGAACAGGAAAGAAAATTGTGTGCACCTTCTGGCTCTTGCAAACTATGAGATGCTATGTGTTTCTTGAGCAAACCTTCTGCTAAAAGTAATAGCTTTTCACCCCCATTACCACAAAGAACCTGTTGAAAATTCAAACTTTCAAATCCATTTGTTAAAGGAGTGAAAGAAAAAATAGAACTAGCATAAATGCATGAGTGTCCGTAGAGGTTGCAAATTCCAAGATTCATAGAATTACTGGAGTTGAACGGAGTGAAACTGTTAAATTGTATTGAAGTTTGTTTAACTTTGACATTTACTTGGTGGTTATATTCCGTCACAATATTATATTCATATAATATGCCAGAATGGAAGTCAATGCTCATGGTAGACATTAATCTAAAAGGTCAAATTCGATAACAAAGTCCATGATATTTTCTTCCAAGCATAACCATTCAAGACATGTATGTAATAACAGAAACATCATTATTCAGGGGGTGTACAGTCATCCCTTTTTAATATAATTTCATAAAACCACAGTGAAAGCATTGCCAAAGCTAGAGCAATACGGTCTAAAAATCAGCCACAGATAAAGAACTAAGTGACAATTTCAAGGTGCTTTGATAAGAGCCTACATGAGCTCATGAAGGGACAATTAAAATGGCTACAATGATAGCAGATCAACTTTTAGGAAATAACTTTTATACATATAAATAGCAGAGAAGGCACAACCTGCAACTGAATGCTGCAAACTGCCCAAAGCAAGAACCTTTCTTCACCAGCAATCTTGTACATCTTGATAGCTATCTGTGAATTGGAAATGAAGTAAATGTAAGTCAATAGGTCAAACACTTACAATCACGAGTGACTTATACACGGGCATGATACCAAAGAGAAAATGGAAATTAAAGAAAAATCAGATTGTTTGTTTTACTCAACCTGTTGCTGCTTCACATATGCATATTCACGAACATAGCAGTTGAAAAGGCCTATCACTAGTTCCATGTTGCTAGGAAATTTCCCACAAGCATACTCATAACAGCTAGTTGCCACATCCACTATCATGTAACACAAGTATTCAATATTTAGATATAAGATACTAAACCCAATATTTAGTAAGGAAAAAAGAAGAAAAGAATATATACTGACAGTGACCAAGTCGCTGGAAAACTATCTGCAATGTGCTGAGAGTGAGATCGTCAATCAAGGCAAAATCATTGGTACGCAAGAGCTCTTTGGCATTCAAGGAAACAGATAATGCTTCTTCGGGTTTGCCCATTCTTTCCAAAATGAGAGCCTTAAGTGCCTGCATGAGACCAAAGAAAATGATGTGATAACAGAGCCCAAAAAATTAGAAATGCTCAAAAGGTTAGAGTGTTAAAGACCAGATTTCACATAGGTCAACCATGAACTGCAATTTCCTTCTCGGGGTGCCAAAAATGAATATGTCATAGTCATCTAAAGATTTTTAGTGTTTGTTCATACAATAAAAATCAAGGTATCTATTTTAACCCTATACAGATGAACAAGATCAAGTGGAAAATGGTACAATACAGAAAGTCACTCTCAATGCAACATTTCAATTATAGCTTAAATGTGATAACAGTGAGAGCTTCGTCATATAACATTTAATAAATTCAAAAGTCAAAACCAAAAGCTTATCAGCATAAAGAAGATTCATTTCGTTTCCTTGGTTATTAAAAAAGCAGAGTCTATGCAGCCAAAAAATGTTAAATACAACACTCTTCTTTCTTTATACTAAGTAAACAGAAATAACACCAGCAACAGCAGAAACAAAACATTAATCTCAAATCAGAAGGGTCTACATGAACATATAGGAATACTCCAGAGGCCATCCAGTGAAATTCTCTTAATCCATTCTTTTCTGTCATGCTGCATATCTGTGCTAGGTAAAAGTGTAGCACAAATCTTAGGGATTGTTTGGTAATATCATTTTCCAAAATGTTTTATGTTTTCTGCTTATTATTTATGGTTTGGTTTGAGATTTTTCAAATTTTTTAAACATGTTTGGTCGGTCTGTTGCTCTGTTGGTATACATGATTTGTACAGAGCATTATTTATTTAGTAAAATATATGATTTTCCTATAAATCATATATTTGATAAAAGTGATTTAATGACATACGAGTATGACAATGTTTTCATGCTGATAAAGTCCTAACAGCAGGGATTTCAAAAAATTCCAGAAATTTCCGCAAGTGATTGTGATGCATCCTCTCCTCTCTCATTTTTATCTCCGGGTCTCTTGGTTATTTCCAATCCAATCTGAAATCCTCCTTTTCAATTATCATTTATGCGAATACTTCAATCATCTAGACTTCGTGCTCAAATACTTGTGAACCCATCAATTTTTCTGCCCCCCCCCCAAAAATACAAAAATGGGAGTTCCCAGATTTTATCTGCACTTCAATTCACAGCAGAGGAACATTTAGCAAGTTTCTAATCTGGGATCGCTGTAAATATTTGAGGAAGATAGAGTTTCATACGGAAAATTTTCTTGTAAATCTTATTAGTACGGCCCTTTTGTGATTATGATAATGTTAATTAACCTCCTTGAGTAGCTAATTCTCTGCCTCTACCACTCTTGAACCCCTATATTGTGATCAATAGAAGACTATAAAAGCACATAATTGTAGTGATACTAATAGGCATCAAGAAATAGTATTACACTGATGAGAAAGCGAAATTAGACTTACAAGAGCGTAGGGGGAATTGGGGTGTTTGGAGAGCAGACTGGTGCAGTGCTTGAGAGCGTTCTTGAACTGGCGAGAGTCGATGGCGTCCCAAACAGGCCGGACTCGACGCTCAGGTATCCCTCCGGCCAGCCCGAACTTCGATGCCATTCCAGACATTGTCCAATGCTTCAGGCGTCACCGGCGTCTAGCCTTGAGACGGTCAGGTCAGGTTGAGGAAGAGACGGCGAGAATGAGTGGCTCTGCGGTGAGATTAACCGGAGTATATGGCTGACGGCAAATTCCTACTCCTCTGCCGCCGGCGGAGATCTCCAAAGTGGCTGGGCTTAAAGATTTTGGAACTGAGATCTTAAACTTCTTCCTTCTAACTGTTTCAACCAAAGAGAAAATGAAAATGAAAATGTCCACTCCAATCTTAACCCGGTAATCCGGCCCTTTATTTATTGCCTCGTCCTTTATAACTTTATTTGCTCTTTCCAATTTCAAAAGCTATTCTTTAATTTGAAGGAAAGACTAAAATAGTACTAAAATATTAAAAATATATCAAAATAAGACTTCTATATTTTTATTCTTGAAATAGAACTTACATTATCAAACATGGTCATGTACATTATCAAAAAAATATAATAATGTGCACATGTACAGTGTCATATTACTACAGTGCAAAGTCTTATTTCAAGAAAAAAACATGAAAGTCCTATTTTGGTATTTTTATCTATGTTTTAGTCTTATTTAGAGTGATTTCTAAAAATATTTTTAGCAGCATGGGGTAGACGGCTTAGCGTGGAGATGTTCGAGCGGGGTGGAAGATGATGGAATATGAGAGATATCGGAGGACGATAGGGTGAGAGATAAGGGGCAAGGGATGAGGGAGGGGTGGACAACGGGTTAGGTGTGGACAGGGGTAGCAGAATAGGAGGGGTGAGGGGTAGAGGTGTCGAGGTGGGGATTCGGCTGGGGTGGGTAGGGTAGAAGGGGGCAGGACAGTGCGGGTTAAGGTGGTGGGTCGTTGGGGGTTGGGGTGAGATGAGATGGGTTAGGGAATGTGGTGGTGGTGGTGGTGCGGGGCAGGGGTGAGAGACGGGGATGTGAGTGGGTTAATAAAGCGCCACTATTGGTAATATATGATCAAAAAGGCCTGTAATTTTTCTCCAAATGAATTTCCACGTAAAAATCGGGTGACTTATATTTTATTTGTTTAACTTAGTTTATTGTTTTCACCATATTAATAAGAACGGCACCCTAGGGGATATCTATGTGCATATTAATGTGGGCACTTGCTCTCAATTAATTTTAAACTTTTTTTTGATAGTACCTTTTTTCTTCACAAATTATGAGTTATGCCCTTATAAAAAAAATTCCAAAAAAAAAGAAATTTCAAGTTGAAAATATTAGAAATTAAATGTAAAATATTTAAATTAACAAGAATATGGTATGGAAATAAAAATGAAATAAATTTCCAAGGAGTATTTTGAATTTTTTCATTAATAAATCGAGTGCTTCTTTGAGTTGATTTTTTTAGACTGCTCTTGAACCACATATAGTAGTATGGATCCGCCACTGGCATGCACCCGGTCGGTATAGCTTACACTATCATTTCATATCTCAAATACTCTTTATAACATTCTTTTTTAAGTATTTTTGACTCAATTAATATAATATCTGTTCATTTTTTTCAATCAAATGATCCATAATGAGACGAACGTCTTCACATCGAATGGTGAGCTTCCTACCAGTCAAAGTGAAGGAGAAATTGTGAAATATTATAAAACTTCAATACTTCGTATCCGTTTGATGTAAATTACGTTAATAAAAGAATATATTAAGCTATTAATTAAAGTTTCAAAAAAATGTGTGTAGATATAGATATACTCCGTATTTTATAAATAAAATTAATATTTCAAAATTACGTTTCAAAACAAAATTGTTTTTTTGAAGAAATATATGATATTGATATCAGCAATGTTTCGTTGACAATGGCATCCAGTGTCAATGACATTCGCTCATTTGGAGCTCATCCCAATGCTCCAAATGAAAAATTGATGGTTCCTTCCCCGCTAATCCCCTTCCTAAACCTCCTAGCATAGTCAAGCTAGACCCCCCTTTTATCATTTCTAAATGTAAAGCTATTTTGTATTGCATAATAGCCATACATTCTTAGGGGGTGTATTCAATCCAGATTCTTTAGGATTTTTTTAGATTTTAGAAGTCAGTGAATATTCAATTGAGATTTTATAAAATCATTTAAAATTTAAGGGTATTCAATTTAGTTTTTTAAAAGTATCAAAATTTAAAAGTATTAAACAATCTATTGATTTAGAAAGATTTGTATTACGGGTAGATTCTGATGTACTTTGGAGTCATTTTTCTAAAGGAAAATCCAGTGACAGATCTGTGGCTAGGGGTGTAAACGGATATTAATCGGATCGGATGTGCCATTACCAAATCCGCATCCGTTTATTTTTGTCAGATATCGAATTCGGATACGGATCTTGACGGATATTGAAAATCAAAACCGTATCCGCATCCGTCGGATATCAGATATATCCGTATCCGTTTCCAATTTTTAAAATCAAATTAAAAATACTTTATTTTTAAATTAGATTAAAGTCAAACTATTATTAAATCAACTATGATTTGTTATGAGATAATTATTTTCTTTGTTTTCATGATTTCTGATATTCTACAATAACTTTATATGATAAAAAGATATACACAACACATATATACACATATTTTTATATGTCTGTATATATTTTTATGTGTACACATTTATTTTGTATTTAAAAATGTCTTATATTTTGGAATATCAATAGAAAAACAAAATATAAACATAAAAAATTAGGAAAAACTATATATAACGGATCGGATATTCGGATAAACGGTTATTTAAACGGATGCATATGCGGATCGGATTTTAAACGGATCGGATATACAATTACCAAATCCGTATCCGTTTAGTAATCGGATATCCTTAATCGGATACGGATAATATCCGTTCAAAACGGATGCGGATATTTTCTCTTTAAACGGATACGGATGCGGACGGTAATCGGATTTTCGGCTATCCGTTTATAGCCCTATCTGTGGCTATTCCCAAATATTTCAGCAGATGTAAAATTTTCTTTCTATGAATTGTAAAAAAAAAAAAGGTTATTGAAGAAGAAATCCTGGAGGTGAGATTCGGCACCCACTATGTTTGAATTGCTGCCATGCTCTTTGCAAACGAACAAGGACGCACGAAGCCATCCGATATTGCCGTCGATTACTTGTGGATCTTTCCAGGGGTGAAGAGGAAAAAACTGTATCCCAAGTTAGGGTTGGCTCCGTGGCGGCAGTGAAGAGACCGCGAAGCTGGAGAAGGCGATGAAAGAGGCTTTTTTTCAACGAGGACTAGCCGGAGCTTGACATTGAAGGACGCGAAGAAGCCGGTTGCGATCGGATCCTCTGCGATGTTTCTTTTCTCACACGTACCTTTCATCTTCTCTTGGTTTTCTTCTTCTTCCTGGCTGCCTGTCTATTTTAAACAATCCCACAAAATCTTTTCAAATCGTGTTGATAAAACATGTTAAAATCTATCAAACTTTCCGTAGAATTAAAATAATCCATGGATTATATAAAATCCACAAATTTTAAACAATCTATTAAAATCTATTAAAATCCACTAAAGGTCTGACTATTATGCATTGCATAATAGTCACATATTTGGAATGAAATCAATGAATAAAAGGGGGTCTAGGGTGGGGGGCGCATAGGTCGGGTGGGGGTGCAGTGGTGAGTTAAAGGAGGGGATTATAGGACGTAAAAACCATAAATTTAGCGAGTGGAGCATTGAAGGAGTTCCAAATGAGCGAGTGTATCTCTTGATATTGAATCTTAATATCGACGGAGTCTTACCGTATTAATATTATCTAGTCTCGAAATACAATGTATTTTTTAATTTATCGAAGCCAAATTTACAAACGTTAACTAAGAAAGGCAAAATGATGGGGGTAAAAAAATATTCTTCATAGTACTTTGAAGTCATCCATTCAAAGTTTCAAAATAGAAGTATTGCATCATTTATAGGGAGTATTTTTTTGATTGAAGTCATCTTCAACCATAACCATTGAATGAACAAATTTAATTTACAAAATAGACACATTTGTCTGCAAAACAAATCCAATATACGTATTTCAAAACCATTTTTTCTCATCACCTTCCGCGATCAGCCGGACAACCATAGCCATTTCCAGGGGATAAAATGATGGCGCCGGAGAGCCATGGAGAATCTCATATCCCAACCACAACAGATGCCCCGACGGAGATCCTGGCTCTCGAAGACGGAGGAGCCTCGATCTCAAAATCACACTCTAATGATTCCAACGACGATACAACGCTTCCGAACTCGGGACACCCTCTCTCGCCGTCAGTCGCCGCCTCTGCCGACGCAGATCGCATCCGCTCTCCGCCGCGCCATGTACATTCAATCGGGGACTCGGGCTCTCAACACAATGTCCATCTCGAATCTCCATCGTATGCGGATGCACATGTTCGTTACACAGACGGCCACGGTAGTTCTGTACAAGAAGCTAATGTCTGCCACAGTCCTGTTACAGACCTGGAAATTTGGGGTAAGCTTTCGCGCTTTCGCTCGTATGACTCGACGTATTTGAAAGTTGCTGTTTCGGATCCACAGAAAGTGGTTGAATCGTCGAATTCAATTGTCCCTGGAGTGAACACCTTTTTTACCTATTTGATTACAACTGAGACAAACATTCCTGATTATGGTGGATCCAAATTCACCATCAGGAGACGATTCAATGACGTAGTAACTTTAGCAGATCGATTGAGTGAAGCTTATAGAGGGTTTTTTATACCTCCAAGACCTGATAAGAGTGTAGTGGAAGGCCAAATGATGGAAAAGAAAGATTTTGCCGAGCAGAGGAGAGCGGCATTGGAGAGGTATTTGCAGAGGCTAGCTGTGCATCCGGTGATCAAGAAGAGTGATGAACTAAGAGTGTTCTTGCAAGTGCAGGGGCGGCTTCCACTTCCAACTAGCATTGATGTTGCATCCAGGATGCTCGATGGGGCGGTGAAGCTCCCCAGACAGTTGTTTGGGGACCATGGGAATGCAATTGAACCTCAGGATGTGGTGCAGCCTGCAAATAATGGCAGGGATTTGCTGAGATTGTTTAAGGAATTGAAGCAGTCTGTGGTAAATGATTGGAGCAGTTCAAAACCACCAGTGGAGGAGGATGATATGGAGTTCTTGGCAAAGAAAGACAGACTTCTTGATCTCGAGCAACACCTAAGTGACACGTCAAAGCAGGTTTTCCTTTTGATGTTTTACTTCATCAGCGATTTACTGTAATTGTTGCTACTATAGTGGTGTTCCACATCATCAATTTGCTGAGAGCAACATCAGTCTGTCATTGGGAGCTCAAGCCCACTATCAAATGTGTGAATGTAAATAGCATGAAACAATTGCAGAAAATGAAAGAGAACAAGTAAAGTGAAAAAAGGGTTGTCTAGTTCATTGTGATAGCAATGGAAATGTTGGGACTTGGTAATCAAGTCCCTAGCATGTCAAGCACTAAAACAATTTATTTAATGTAAATCTTGGCTGAACAAATGAAACGAGTGCAAGTAAAAGTAAAACAGAAGGTGAATATAAATAAACCAGATCCAATCAAGAAGGATTCAACCAAAGAGCTATTCTAGGGTTGGAGGTCATCATTTTTAACTAAGCCAAACTAAGGGATAGAGACACAGAAGGATCTAATTCGGGGATTTAGAATCACAAAAGACTGGCAACTTGTTTATTGCATCTAGGTTATTGGCTGTTGACTCAGTAAACCCCTTCACGCTCTGCAAAACTCCTTTAGTGCCAATTCTTGTTTAAACATCCCAACTCACATTCATATTTCATAGGTAATTGAAGACAAGACATAATTTAAGCACCCGCCACCAAGCAACACACAATCTCATTGAAACCTTCACTTCTGTGATAGATCCACATGACATTGTGGCGGGTTGAGGTGAAGCATTCCTCTTTTGGGGCTATCTTCAATCCAAGGAGATAGAATTTAATGAAACTATGCCATTGTTGTATAAAGTAAGCAGTGGAATGCACATAATCTAGGCTAGATTTATTCAAATGAATAATCTGGCATGGAAACCTTAAACCTGCCAACATAGGCTAGCTAAATCTAGCATAGCATGTTTTGATCTAGTAATTAAGTAAAACATAACAAGCATGAAAAAATAAGATTGAGAGAGAGAGAGGGGAAAACAACTCTTTGTGAGTCACTCGTAGATTGACAATAGAATGGCTGAGTCCTTAAGCTCTCAAGGAATCCAATTTACAATTGACTATATCACTCTAAGCAATGCCATGAGACCCTAGAATACAGGGGTCCACCATGTTCGGGACTGTGGCTGTGAGAGGCGCAAGCAGCCCAAACCATGGATCAACCACTGAACCATGGCATTGACCTCGGGCATGGTCCAAGCCGTGGTCGAGGATGCTCTTTAGACATGGCAAAACCGCGAGTCATCTGTGGGCATGGTGGACTATATGGTCATTGGCACAAACCTTAGCATGATCATTCATCATTAGCCCTCAAAAAGTCTCTTGTCTTCTCCTTGATGTACCTATGTGTATCCATGCTCTTTTAACATGCAAAAAACAAAAAGTACAAGTGTGAAACTTTCCAAATAAGGGAAAGGAACTAATAATATATGTAGTATACAATGTACACGCAAACAGAGGGGGGCATTGCAAATCTTGGCCAATAACAAATATACAATGGCCAAAGTGTCCAAGTATACATATATGACACATCAAAGCAGGATTTCCTTTAAATGTCTTACTTCACCAGTGATTTCTTGTAATTCTTACTGCTAGGAATACTAGTGGTGTTTGCATTTCAGCGTTGATATGCAAACAAGTTTCCATTTGCAACAATCTAGTGGTACCTTTTAAATTATTTGTATATCATCTATAAATGAATACTCTGAATAAAATGATCTATAATTATACCCCACCTTTATTATTTAGTTAACCTTCGAGTTGTTCTTCATTATATGTGCTATTTTTTTTTGAATTTAGGCCAAGGCTCTTGTTAAAGCCCAAAGAGATATGGGGGAGACACTAGGAGAAATAGGGATAGATTTCCTTAAGATGGCAAATTTTGAGAACGAATGGGCAAATTTGAATGCGCAGAGAGTACGAGCAGCTGATATGAAAAGTGTAGCAACTGCAGCTGTCAAAACAAGTAGATTACATAATGATCTACACATTTGTGATGTGAAATATTTGGTATCTACTTTTATTTTCCTTTAATTTTCCTTTAAATATTTTCCTTCAACTGGGTTGTTGTTGTTGTATTTCGTAAATTTTGGACAGCTATGACTTGGCTGCAGGGCTTAAATTTTTATACTATTATCATTTTGAGTTTTTCAACATTGAGCATCTGGTATTTATGTGAAAGTTTTCTCTATATTTTATTTTGTAGGATATCCTGCATGAACATTTGTGGTTAATGATGGCTGTAAGATATGCATTTTCTGATCGTTCAAAGGCTTTACTAACAGTACAGACTCTTCTATCAGAGTTGTCATCTTTAAATTCAAGGGTTGAGAAGCTTGAAACAACATCATCCAAAGCAGACAAATTAAGGATTCAGAAGTTAGAAGAATTGAAGGATGCTATAAAAACCACAGAAGATGCTAAAAGTTGTGCAGTCAAAGAATATCAACGCATCAAGGTATTTAAGTTCAAACTAGGGAGTATGAACAATTGAAGTTTTAACAAATTTAGTTTTATACTTTCTAATTTAGGTTTACAAAATTCAATTGTTCTAAGTTTGGTCAATGAGTTAATTTTTATGATCTTATTTTTAAAGTCTTGTATTCCTTACATAGTTCCCCACCTGTTCTATTAATCTGGTGCTTGGTTGAGTGACCCAGAATCGCAGATTCCTTGTTCTGGTTTGCCTGGCATCCTAGCTCGACCTACGGTTGGACTGGCAAGGCGCAAGGCCAACTGGGTTTGACTTGTTAAAACCTTCAGATAGTGTTCTCTCCAAGATGAATTAATCAATTAAGTAACTAGTCATGTGAAGATTGTTGCTAGCTATTTATGTATTCACATTGATTTTTTGTTTGACAACCATTTATTATGCCTAAAATTTTCTTTGCTCACATTCCGTGTTTCCAAGGAAGCTATTGTTGGTTTCCAGTAACTCTTTAGCAATTTAATGTTATATTTATTATAGTGTATATTAATTGTCGAAAGCAGGAGCATAATAAAAGTGAAATTGAAAGACTAGATAGAGAAAGACACGGTGACTTCATAATCATGTTGAAAGGATTTGTGATTAGCCAGGTATTCTCTATGCCTCTGAAGTCTAATGAATTCGATATTTGGGCAGTGTTCTATGTTTTTTTGTTTCAAATTGTTACAAGTCTAACTTGGTTAATGCATGGGCTTCACTAAGACTTACATTACAGGTGGCTTATTCAGAAAATATTGGAAATGAATGGGAAAAGGTTGCAGAGGAGACTTACCAGTACGCAAGATATGCTGCATAATGCAGACTGTATAAACAACTTTTTTAAATATATTTTATATTACTTTAGCTCATGTACCATGCCCTTGTACAGTTCTTTCAAATCTCACCCAAGGAGTAGTTCAGCTGCATAACTTTTACTTCTTTTACACATCTTCACAGCTCAGTCATTTTTTGTATTTCTTGTTCAATTCTTTTGTCTCGGGTGATTAAACTATGGATTTAATCAATTATACTTCATATGTTTATACTCCGTATATTTTTTGCTACAAATATTATTGAGTTACAATATTATTCACCTTGAATTCTTCAATGAAAAAAGTTATACATTCAAAAAGCTCCGTCTAGATATATTTTTTAAAATCCCAAAAAAGTATGGAGTATGTCTAAATTTTTTATTATAAATCTATACTATACCATTAAGTTTTTCAGTGTCTTCTTTTTAAAATCTCAAGGAAGTAGTTGACGAATTCTCATTTTTCTTCCTTTTGGGACAAACAGATAAAGTACATGAGTAATATTTACAAAGTATTTCTACAAGTATATCACACAATTTAAGGATCAATTTCTTGTCATTTCTCATGATGTGTGCTTGTTGATCTCATTATATGAATCTTTTAATGGAACATGACTATAAAACAATCTCAGCTCATATATCTCCCATGATATGGTTCATGTAAGTGAAAAATATATGTGCTGATGACAATCTTTGTATCCCATCTCATTTTTCAATATAAGCATTTGAAAATATAGCATACAATGGTTATGCTATATCATCAATCTTTTTTTTAATTTTGTTTTGTTTTCAAATGAACATCGGCATATACATTGTTTAGAAAATGAAAGATGGTTTTGACTTTTGTAGATTGTTAATAGTTCAATCAGCATATATTATTTCTCTGTTATTGTTTAATATGCTTGTTTAATTGCTTGGAGAGATGTTTATATGGAATTGCTTGGAATCCTTTGATACATTCTATTTCTATAATCATTTCAATAGAGTCTGAACATTTTTATGGTGATTGACCTAATTAATGACATGGAGCAGTGAAGTTCTGTTCACTAGCTATCACTTCATCTGCGTCTATGTTTTGCAATATGCCTTGCCATGTTAATAAAATTTATTTCTATCTGATTGCCATGTTTTCTATCTGGTGATTGACCTAATTAACGACATGGAGTAATATTTAATAAATATTAATATTAGTTACTGAAGTTTTGTTCACTAGCTATCACTTCAAAGGATTAGCTAGGTTCAAAACCATAGCTTAATAATATTTAATAAATATTAATATTTAATAACTTCACTGGAGTATCTTTTTTATTCTTTTTATAAAAATAAAAAATCTTTTCAATATGCTGAAGTATGCAGAATGCAGAAACACTTAATTCATGGGAAATAGAAGCTCTGGTATTCACTGCAAATTTGCTACTCCAGGTTAAGTTATGGTTTTGAACCTAGCTAATCCTTTGAAATTTCCCTCCTGGAATTCTTCAGTCTCAAGCTCATTCAAATAATCCATTCACATGTGATGATAAGTTATGAGTGCCATAGACCCTTCAGAAGGGATTCTGTAATATAGCGGTATGTTGCTTCACTGGGATGAATGCTGTCCCAGAATAGGTACTCTGACGAATTTGTGCACGTTGGACGGCGCATGATACACAGTGGTCCCGCTTCCAACAATCCAGTGCCACAGCATCCTTGCCCTGTCTCGACAAATCCTGCAATGTGATCCAAGTATTTACTTCTACCCCTTGTTGTATTGTGTGTGGTGTGTGTAGGCCAAGCATATACCTATTGATGAAATAAATCCCGAATTGTTGAATATTCTACGTTGGTGGTTGTCTATGAGACTATGAGGTTGAGTTTTGAGACTATTATGTAAATGCTATGGCAATTTTGCCACACTTTTGGGGTTGAGCTTAGCCCTAATTTGACATGGTAATAGAGCCTAATCCAATGATGGTTTTGGACACATTTGTCCACCCCTTAAGCTTGTGCTTGTGTGCTTTTGGTGTAGTTGGTTCAGTCGGTATGTGTGTTTTTTCTTTTCTTTTCTCTGTACTCATACTTCGTTCTGTGGTCTGTTTGCTAGTACTCCTGTACTCGAATCGGGGTCTCTTGAAAACTGTCTCTATACTCCCAAGTAGGGATCAGGTCTGCGTATAGTCACCCCAGACCCTACTTTTTGTGGGATTCTATTGGGATTTTTGTTGTAGTCGTCATAGTTATTACGGCGTCGCCTAGGCGTCCAGTCGGAACTTTTTTCTGCTCCTTCGACTCGACTTAATTTCCGGAGCTCGCCTAGTCGTCGCCGCAGAGACGCCTAGACGTCCAGTCGGTACGCCTGGGGCGACTTACGCCCACTTTATTTTTTTTAAGGATCGGGTTAACTAGAATCTACAGGAAGAGACCTCGACTTAACCCAGCAACAAGACAGACGGAGTGAAGGAAGAACTGAAGCCTTTAGGTCGGACCCTTAATGCTAGCTGAATAACAAACGCTAGAACAGCCTAGTCTACGCTCTCTCGGCTCTTAATCCTACGATCGGCTGGGCTGGGCTTCCTTCAATTTTGACGGAATTCTTAGCGACTAGCACTATTCCCGTATGACTATTTCAGTATGACTTTGTATTTAGGCTTTTCAGTTTCTCTTAAATTCCCAGCCACTAGGACTTCCTATTTTCCTTTAAAATTAACCCTATATTTTCTGTAATTAGAAGATGTCTTCTATCAGTGTTTTCATATTTTATTTTTTATTTTCTATTTCTGAAAAAACATATAATATAATATAATATAATATAATATAATATAATATAATATTTTATATATATATATATATATATATATATATATATATATATTATTTGTCGCCTAATCGTCGCCTAGGCGCTCGCCTAGGCGTCTAGGCGTCATGGCGATACATTGGCGCCGCGCCTCGCCTTGGCGCCGTGATAACTATGGTAGTCGTCCACCCCTTAAGCTGGTCTGCGTGGGATATGCTGAGTATCATATAATGGGTGTCTAGCTAATACCCGTAGTATATTTCTAGACAATCTTTTTTGGGGTGAGTTGGGCCTACCGTGTCTTTGTGGATTGTTGATCAACTCCATCATAGGATTGTATGCATCTGAATACAAAATTGTGCTCCCCGGAAGGGACTCCTGTATGCGAGGCAGCAAACGCACAAGCTTGGCGTTATAAATCTGTGCATCTAAATTTTCCTCTTCAAGACACGTCCTCAATAGCAGAGAGCGAGCAGTCATTTGTATAGGTAAACATCCCATTGGAGGAAGCCCGGTGACCAAGATGGTACGGCATCCTAGCTTATAAATTCCCTGAAAGTCATAGAAACAGAAACAAATTCAGCCACTTTTAGACCTTACCAAACAAGCTGTCAAATCTATCACTGAATTCAAATCTAGTGTTCAGCTCAATACTCACTCCGTTTGGATTTAGTTGTCCACTAGTGTACGGGGGTGTGTATATAAGACCTTACACTTACTTGAAAGTAGAGAGTCTGTTTCTTTTCAAGAATATAGTTAGCGAGGCAACTAATTTCGGGTGTCACAGAAAAAGGAAAAGTGGGCAACTAAATCCAGACCGAGGGATTAATAGATTGCAGGGCTAGTCGTTTTACCTCAATAAACCTTCGGAGCTTCAACTGAAGAAAATCTTGATAGCCACCAATGCTAAACTGCTGCCTTCTTGTAGGAATGTCATAGTAATTGAAGATGAAGTCATTGGGTGCTGCACTGATGACGACGAAAGCATGGTTAATTATCCTCTCTGCCTCTTCCTCTCCTGCAATTCCCTTCACCATCTCTATGTACTTCTGGAACATGGTCACCTGCTGCGACATCGGGATCACTCTAGACGCAATGGTCGTTAACTCGTCCAACCCTGACCCCGCCGAGGCAAAACTGACCCCGGTCAGGAGTTCTTCTTTGGGCAGGTACGGCTGCAGGAATGGAGGAACGCTGTCCTTGATTCCCAGGGCAGATGCCAGGAGATCAGGGACGAGCATCCCGTCCGAAAACCTCCCTGTCGGGATCTTCCCGGGAAACCGCTGCCCGTAAGGTGGGTGGTTTCCCTTGAATGCTGTTGGGATGTAATTGTTATTCCCAGTGTCGACCGTTGAGTCTCCGAATATAATGATTGCAGAGAAGCTGGGCAAGGATTGGCCAATGCAGGCGTCCATGGCGATGATGATGATGATGATGGCAGCAGCCATGGAAACTACTGCTTGGAAGCTGGCCATGTCTTTGAGAACTCACTCACTCACTCACTCAGGTAATCTTTCCTTTATTTCATTTGAATTTCATATTTATATATGCCATTGGCCGCAGCTCTTATCCTCTGAAAGTTTTCAGTCTGAAAAAAATGCACCATTCTTGGGAATACACACGTTTTTTTTAATAACTTGTGAAGTGTGCATGATAAGATCACATTAATCTGTTTATTTTTTGAATGTATAAATGCAATTTTGTCTTATTATATATATAAAAAAAATTATATGAATCTGAAAACAATGATTGGTTGATTATTGTAAGTAAAGTCTTGAATTTCCATTTAGTTGCATTGAAGGGCAATGCCAACTTGCTCCTCCAACATTTATTACAATAAAGATACTACACGAATTTAATTTTAATTTAATTTAAGAGTAAATTCTATAATTGGTTCTTCCTTTAGGGGTTTCCTTATTTAGTCCTCTATTATCAAATATTATCCCAGTGGTCCTTCCTTTATGGGTACCTTTCCACAAATAGTCCTTTTTTTGATCTTCTATCATGTTGGTGTTAATTTGATGGCTAAAAGTGTAATTTCACAATGATAATATATCTTTTTTGTCATACACAATTCCAAAGGCTGTTCCGTTTGCATCGTTTGTAAATTACAGTCGCTTTTTACGACAACGATAGTCTACAAATGTGATCTTTCGTCAGAATCCTAGCCCACAACCATAGTCATTATTTTTGTGTTATCCGCTTAACCAATATCAGAACACGTCACTAGACATAATGTTGATAACAAATTATACTTTTAGCCTTTAAATTAACACCAACACGACAGATGATCAAAAAAAGGACCATTTGTGGAAAGGTACCCTTAAAAAAAGGACTACGGGGGTAATATTTGATAATAAAGGACTAAATATGGAAACCCCCATGTTATAAAGGACCAATTATGGAATTTATTCTTAATTTAATTTAGTAACGCTCCAGCGGCCAGCCAATGAACTGTTGCCTTCATTAGGAAACCCACAATATTTTTTTTTAACTATGTTATGGGAATATGAAGTTTGCCCCGTCTTGAGAATATACAGAGTTTAACTGGAGTCTATAATCTAGATTCTAGTAATTGGAGTCTGGAGTCTAGAGTGTTGGGGATAATAACAATAACGCGGATCAATCGAGAGTCGTGTATAACACATTCAGATTGAATATTTTAGTTGTTCAATCTAAAATTCAATCGGATAAAACTCGAAAGTAACAAGAACAAGTATGGAGTTGTTGTGAATTCTTCAAACCTTTTTTCCGACTAAAGACTTCCGGGAATATGTAGAGTTGCGGTGGAGAAGAAAAGACGCGATCGCGTCTTTTATCCAAGACGCGAGATCCTTCCCTTAGAATATCGGTGATATCCTTAAGGAATTTTCCTTTTAAAGAAAATTCGAAAATAAAATTCAATTGAATTTTTTTAACATAGCACTTTGCCCAAAATAAAAAAGTGAAATTTGCACTAAATAGGACTAAAACATAAGTCATTTTCTAATGTAGGATTTAAACTTTTTTATTTCCTAGATAGTACTTAATAATATCTAGTGGGAGGGAATAATGTCCAGAGAATAATGACTAATGGATAATGACCACTGGTCCTGCATTGGAAAATAAAAACATAAGGTCCTATATTGAAAAAGTCATTATGCTTTAGTCATATTTAGGTAGATTACCCAATAAAAAATTGCATCTCGACCCCAGCCAGGGACTCTGCCCTTTGGACCCCGCAGGGGCTGCCGCCCCTTGAACCCTGCTCGGGGGCGCTGCCCCCTTGGAACCTCCGATAAAACGGGACTTTTATCCTAACAAACTCAATGAAGCGTGCACTCCGCACCACCAAACTTCTTTGATGATTATTTGGATACCATTGGTCATAGTTTTTCCAATTACACTAAAATATATACTCCCTCCGTTCCAAATTATAATGCCTGTTCACTATTCACAAGGTCAAACTTCATTCACTTTCTTTCTCTATTTTCGTTAGCAATTTGTTAAAATAAAATATTGTTGTCACTACTAGTTTTGTAGATCTTTTGATGTAGTATTTTGATATGTAATTTTTATTTTTTAACTCTATATCATTTGTCATATAAAATGATTTGAAAATAACTTCAGTCAAACATCGTAAACCGAAACAGGTGTTATAAAATGGGACGGAGGGAGTAACATAGAGTATAGGGACAATAATAATTTTAACTAAAATTTGGACATTAGAGTCTGGAGTCAAGATGATATGAAGTTTGCCAGTCTTGAGAATATACAGAGTTTAACTGGAGTCTATAATCTAGATTCTAGTAATTGGAGTCTAGAGTATAGGGGCAACAATAATTTTAACTAAAAATTGGACATTAGAGTTTGGAGTCAAGATGATATGAAGTTGACAAGAACAATCTGAATTCTTCAATGGGAAGGAACTAAGTTCAAGACAACCAAATAGTGATTCATAGGTTGTGAATTAAATTAGAGTAAATTCTATACTTAGTCCTTTAAAATTAGGATTTTTTTTATATTTTGTCTTTTATTATCAAACACGGAGTATTATGTTTTGGCCCTTTGTTTATGGGTATCTTGCCATTGATAGTCTTTTGTTTGACCTCTCGTCATGTTCGTATTAAATTGAGAACTAATAGTGTAATTTCATACCAACCTGATCCGACCATGTATTCTAGTGCCGGATTGGTTGACAATACAACGACAGTGACTAAGACTGCGAACTTTGGTTCCGACCAGCGGCGACAACAGTGGACTACGTTTGCGGTGACCGGCAACTCCAGCGGACAAACGATGCATCAACAACGACCGCTGATGTTGGCTATGGCTAGAAGGATTTAGTCCTCAATTTAAGACCAACACGATGAAAGATAAAAAAGGAAGACTATTTGTGGAAGGGTACAATATAAAGAAAGGACCATGAAAATAATGATTTGTAATAAAAGACTAAATATAGAAATTTTCTTGTTTTAAAAGACTAATTATAGAACTAACTCATTATATTATTTTGAAGGAATGAATTCTATTTCCCATCATTTGTAATGGAGCCAAAGATTTATATTTTTTTACTTTGAGGTATGATGGAATAAAACAAAAAAATTCTTTAAACTATTTGCGTTTCTTTAATAATGGAGTAGTAATTAGTCAATGCAACTTTAACACTAATCAAGGATCATTTGGGAATATCTCTAATATATATTTTAAACATAAAGTTCAGGTTGTGTACATTCCACCCACTCCCTATCATGCAAATGGGCAAGACCGTTTAAGGCACTTGAGTAATTTTTTCCCCAAATTAGTATCGTGGGCTTAAGTCTTCTTTTATGAGCCAAATGACTTTTTTCTCGAGATATCCATTATAAGTCCCCTACTTCCCGAGCATTGTGCAACGATGGTTGGAAGAAGTAGCCAAAGTCCCGTAAATGGAAGAAGACGAGGATGCCAAAATATTCTCCAAATTTAAAATTTCCCCAAAAATTTGATCGTGAACTCGAATGAAACTAAAACTCATGCTCCATCCGTCCAAAAATTATTTTCGCATTTACTATTCACATGGTAAAAATAATATAGTCATGTCGCTTTTAATTTTATAAATTCTTTGATGTAGTTTTTTAAATATGTTTTTTTTAATTCCACGTCATTTTTCATATAAAATACTCCGTAATACTCTCTCCATTCTAAAATGGTATTTCCAATTACTATTCACATGGTTAAACTTTAATCTCTTTTTTCTATCTATTTTCGTTAGTTATTTGATAAAATAATATAGTCATTCACTTCTTGTTTTGTAGAACTTTTGATATAATTTTAAAATATACCGAGTATAATTTTAGTTTAAAATTTTACACCTATGATTAAAATTATAATTAAATAAATTGAATTAAAAATAATTTTAGTCAAATTTCGTAAATCAAATTGGAGACGTCATTTTAGAACAGAGAGGGTAATTCATAACATATGAAATCATTCAAAATTCATCAAATATAGACACATCTAATTGGCTCATGGTCATGGCAGTATGGCACATGAATCACGCAGATAATGGACCAATAAATGATAGGAGTACGTGCGTTAAATTTGACGCACACCAATACTAAAACTAAACTAGTCAACCCCATTAATACCCGGCAATTAATAATTACTCCGTAATATTTGTCGAGTTGTACTAGAAAATTGTTAGATATTGTCATATTGATATAAAAATAGTTTTATTATATTTATTATATAAATATTTTCAAAATATTATTTTATTTAATTAACATAAAATATTTAATTATAAACCAAAGATTAAAAATAGTTGATTAACAAAAGTCAAACTAGACAAATACTGACAGATGCAGTAGTTTATTTTGAGAGAATACTTTTTAGTATTTGTTTCACTTGGATTGCTTAATTCAGTATTTACTGATTACCCAAAAAATAAAATTAAACCACCATTTTCTTGTCCTTTCCTATCATTTTTGTTTCTTACACGGACTATATTTCAACCTTCCAAAAGAAAATGACACATTTTTTGGACGATTTCAAAATAAACTTTATTTTTTTATTCTTCTATTTTTATATTAATTTTGTTTTTTTAGAATAAAATTCAATCACAAATTCTTACTTTTTTCAATACCTTTTTAAACTCATAAAGTTAATTAAAGGCCATGTTTGGAATTTAGCTATTGGCAGTTGACAGATAGCTATTTGTGTTGGCTGGTTTGAACGGCTGGTTGAGTCGGCTGCTTTGACCAATCGATTATGTTGGCTGTTAATAAAAAATGTTTGGCAAATTTAGCTTCTTCAAAATAGCTTTTATAAATTGAATTTAATTTAATGAAGTTTTCACTTATATAATTATATGGTATAACATGCTTTTTTAATATATATTCTTTCTTTCCTCAAATAAAATTTTAAGCTATATATTCGTCTAAAGTCATTATGATGTTATTTATTTATGGTTTTTATCATTCAATTGATTGAATAATATAATTATACGAAGTATCATATTTTGTTTCAAATTTTTTTTGATGTAGTTATTAAATTTATAATTTGTTTATTTCTACACCAAAATCTCAAAAATAAAAATTTAAATTTTTTTTTTCTCACAAATCGCTTCATGAAATTTACAATGAAGAGGAGAAGGGCTATTTATTATGTATTTATTTATATACATATTATTTACTTATTT